GAAGCATCTATTTGCCAATATATTTATTTATTTTTCTATCAGACTGTCTACCTGCGTATCTACCTAACTATATACTTATTCATATATTAATAGTGGAAGATAACATATATCTTGATGGTTAGAAAACGTTAGTTGTGTTTCCTAATTACGGATATTTCAATTATTTTAGATTTATGGAAATATCATAGCAAGGAAACTGTACCCCAACTTTTTCCTCTTTCCAATATATATATTTTTAGTAAAATAATTAAATTAACTTTTAAATAATTTTAATTTTATTACAGTCCACAAGTATCTTTTCCATTACATAGCCATACAAGAAAGAGCACTTAAACTCTTATTTAATGAAACTCATTGGCCATTTGGAACTCTTATCAATGGCGAACTTTAAAGAGCACCTAACAATTACATCAAATCTGAATAGCGTCCTTATGCAGCAGACAGTATGCGTACGGGGTGTATCTGCGTGAACCTTCCATTTAGTAACCAAAAACATTTAAGAACATTTAGAATATGCCAAAATTTTACTTTTTCTTTCAACTTCAGTCAAACCAAGTGCAAAAAAAAACAACAACAGATACGAATTTTAATGGAAATAATGCAAAGAAACATTCTTCAGAAGTTTCCCAAGTAATGTGAAACAAAAGTTTGATATTTGAAGTAACTTTTGTGCAATCAAATTGAATTTAATTTTTCTTACTTTCTCTTCTCAGAAGAATTCATTTAAGGTCTTCACCATAGTTGCTTGCCTCCATGGTTTCCATGGTGGTATCCAAAGGAGCAGTAAGAATCTACTCTTGTCCTTCTGCGAAGACATATGAGCAGTAATTTTATTGTTGTAAACACACTTTTGAAAAATATTAGTTTTGGCAACTAAAACAAGACAGCAGATGTTGCGTTGCTTCAAGAATGAAATAAAATAAAATATATAAAATTAAATAAAATAAAATACCAATGGAAGGACTCTTAACACCGGAATGCTTGGTTATTTGTTGCGTGCGAATTGCTCTGGTGTGGCGCTAACCAGAAGGTCAATTTGTACCAAAAAGTTTTGCTTGTAAATCGGGAACAATCAAATTAAGAAATATTGGGCCACAAACCATCCTGTCAGAGAATTATAATTTAATGATTGTTTCGGTTAGTGACAGAAGTGAGTCTCCAGTCGAAGGCGGACTCGAACTCGAAAATGTGGTGAGACGAGTTTTAAAATAAACTTTGATTGATTAAATTAAATAAGTTTATTATGAATATTTTATTTCTACAAATCCGATACTTAAACCAAACAAATCATTTTAATGAACCTCATTTATCGATCTGTAAGAGCATTTACCTTGTGTAGTACATTCTGTTGTGGTTTTTAACAAAGTTTGATTGAAAACTAAAATTTCCAAATTTCAAATTTTAATAAATTTATTATGTTTATTATGTTTATTGTATTGAGTAACTTTTCACAATTTGTTTGTTATAAATTTGTGTTACGCATCCGCAAAATAACCACAAACATATGTGGGTGCACGTATTAATTTTGTGATAAGATTTTGGTCTGCCTGCCAATGGCAACATAAACTTGAAACCATTTTGGTTAAACGTTGTAGATTTGTTAGAATGAAAACCACAATACACAATTATTCGAAACATTTCATCATAGATGTGGCGAAATTAAGACCGTTTTCATCACGTCATCCTTTTGTGGTTACACATCAACTTCACAATATAAATCTTGCTACTTTCCACCTAAAGCTTCTTCTTCAACATTTTACTTACAGCGACCTCCAACTTGTAAGCAATGTATTTGGTTAATTAAGTCTGCAAATATATGTACATGAGTATATTTCGGTTTTTTAGACATGTGATGGATTTTTCAATTTAATAAAAAAAAATTATTTGAAGGTTTAACTTGCATATCACCTGGCAAAGAAAATAGGAATACAGAAAGGTAGGTGACTCTATGGTTACTTAACTACAGTAAGTACTTGTGGACAAAGTAAAGTCAAGTCAAGTTTAAGTACTGGTGAAGAGTTGTCACTGTTTCAATGTTTAGTTTAGAACGTTAGTTCTTTTTTAATATGGACTATTTTATAACCTTTTTTTACTTGCACGACATGTCAATAAACACAACTGTCACATCTGGTACACTGTAAATCCACAACTCACTTGTAAAAGACCAGTGCATTCGTAAAAGGTCTTTGCAACTGGTGTAGAACGAAGTCAGGCGGGGTCTTAGGTCAGTACCTTTATGAAAGTAACGATAGTATGGCACAAACCATCAATTCTTATCACTACAAGTATAAATTTTAGTGAAACTGAAGATGCGGATGCGGATGGGTGTGGAATATATGGGATTTCAAGAGAAAAGTATCACAAGTTATACAAGACATGATGCGAATGAGTCATAAAGATAATGCAATTTTTCATAAGTGGACTTTTTTTATTATGTCAAATATATCATTCTATTTATATGCACAGTGCTCCAACTCTCGACCTTTTGAAGACAATCATCCACCGAATTATGGCCGAGCTATTGCCAGCTATATGTCGAAAAGTCCTCAAAAATCATTACTTATGAGTAATGAGTAATAAGCATCAGTGAAAGCGTTTGCAAGTTTTATTGAAACCATAGACGAAATTTACTACAGAAAGCGCCGCTAATCTAGTTACAAATGGAATAAAATCTTAACAATAGTATCAAATTACATGACCGCTTTCAACACAGCAAATTTAGTGTGAAAAGTTTTAATTGAAATAAATACTTAACTAAACCATTAAAAGAACAATTAAAACAATCGCCAAAGAATTTCAAAATAAAACACAAAAGTGTATATAACAATGAAATTAGTTTAAAAATATACAGCGAATTTTTCTGGTCTTACAAAAAATTTAAAAGTTAAGGATAAAGTTTTAATTCAATATGGTTTGTTCGAAGTGGATAGATTCCTTTTTTCCTGTAACAACAGCTTAAAGTAGTTGAAAAGTGTTGGAAAGTTTTCTGGTCATAAACTCAGTACATTAAAATTGTGTTTAAATGAGCAGAAAAGCATTGTAGCTAAAATTAAGTAATACCACGCAGCATCTTTGTTAACAATTTGAAGTAGTTTAAGTAACTTCATTATATGGGCATTTCATAGTTGACCATAGATAAGGAGTTTATGCTTTTAAGAGCGCAATGTACTACTTTATAATAGTCTTCTCACTCAGTGAAAAGTTATATTCAACCGTACTCATATGACGTCAAGAATATTGTTAAAGTAACGTATTAAGAGCATCTTAACCATAGGCTTTTGCATTGGCATAGCATAGACTTAGCATAGGCACAAGCATTAACTTTGTTGTTCTTCTCCTTTTATTCTACAACTTCAACAATAATCGTCAAATGTAGCCCTTGCTTAATCGACATACCTATTTATTTAACCATATGCCATCGTAATTGAAAACCAGGTAAGGTTCTACTTATATTTAGTGAGTGTTTTTAATAAGATAATCTCCACATATAGAACAACAGTTGTTAAAATACTTCACTACTAGAAGTCACTTATGCCATCATATACCTATTAATCATAATAAGAAGATTAACTGGCGTATAATATATCTGAAAGTCTAAACGATTCTTACAATTACATTTAATTAAAATTACTCAGAAGTATTTTAATTCATGTTTATATTGAAGCTTGAATAGTTAAAAATATTTTTAATTAATTTTTTTTTTGTTTCCAGTTGGATTGTAAGACTTGCAAATATGATGCAATTATAAGTGACCCAAATATACGAAAAAATTTTGAATACAACTGCTTGGAGGGCAATACAAGTGACAGGGGTGAAGGTAAGTTAAAGAACATACTATTCAGCAACTCTATTTAAAATTTAGTTAAAACGTGTTCAAAAGTTCATCATTAGAAAAAGTTCTCATTAATTAAATTAATTCAAAACTAACAACTTACTACTTTCCTGAATTTGGCTTTTTTACCCGACAGATTCCTGTCAGCTCCTGCAAAATTCTCCAGCAAAAATTAATCACAATACTTTGTGTATGCAAACGAAAGCACCAGTAGAAGCAACAATAGCAGCGCATAATGGATATTATTATCAACGAACAATGCCACATTTATACCAACAACAACAACAACAACAACAACAGCAACAACCTGATGTCATGCTAATGACTGCAGCAACAACCGCTGCAGCGGGAACATCGACAGCAACGGCAACACAAAAGTATGCATATCAACAACATTACAGTCGTTCAGCAACACCATCACCACAACATTTTCAGCATCCATTGCAAACAATACACATTGTTTCTTCAGCATCGGCAAATTCATCACCAACACATCAAATGTTACGTCAATATGCCACACTACAACCACAACAACGCCAACATCAACAACAACACTACCAACAACAGCAACAGCAGCATTTTGTAGCAGTGCCAAGTAGCATGGTACGTTTTCAGACATCTCCAAATCCCTGCAACGTGATATCCAACAATAGTGGCGGTGTTGCTAGTTGTAGCAACATGCCACCAAATTGTTACACACCTGCTGCTGTTGCTGTGACTGGAGCTGCAACAATTTATTTTCCAATAGCAACAACACCAGCGGTCACTCTAGCTGCAGCAACATCCTTATCATCCTCATCAGAAGCAACAGCAACAGCAACTACAACTACAACATCTTCAACAACACAACAGATTTCATGCAGTCAACCGCTCGTAAAATATCACACAATTCAATTGCAGCAACATAAAAAACCTTATATGACTGACGTCGACAATGCAGGTCAGCAAGTTGCTTTAACGACAGCAACATTACCGCCCCCACCCGCTTATCAAACAGCTACAGTGCATGGTGAGTAGTAATTGAATTTTAATTAATTTATTTTACGTTCTTCAATCAAATTTATTAA